TGTCCCTTCATGTTATAAGAAACCTTTGCCAGCCTGGCGGCTAATCTGAGCCTTTCCCTCATTTGAGCCCCTGGGGTCTGCTTGCCTGAAGGCCATAACTTAAGGCTGCAGCCTTTTGCTGATCTCTCCTGATCCTTTCAGCTTGTTCCTCTTGGTCTCTGTTATAAAACACCGAGGTTGACTGGTTTAGCAATGATTCTAGACTCTGTTCTGGTCCCAAGGCCAGCTTCTGAAGCTTCCTCCTGATATCTACTGCTGACTAATAAACTTGTCCTTTAGTATTAACTGACCCTCAATATAGTGTGGTGACAGGGGAGTGTACTTTCTTAAAGCCTCTCACAATCACTCAAGGAAAGCTGTTGGGTTTTCTTCCCTTCCTTGAGTTATGGTAGATAACATTGCATAGTTCATGGGCTTCTTCCTAATTTGCCTTAATCCCTCAAGTATATAGGTCAGGAAATGCTTACGGCTCCAGTCCCCCTATTCTGAATCCAGATCCAAGTTAGGGTCTGTGCCAGGGACTGCCTGTGTACCTGTGGGATATCTATCCTTTCCCTCTGGCATTATTAGTTTATGTACCTGACTAAGGTACCAAGTGTCCCTAAACTCTTGAATCGCTGCTAGAGCAGCCTCCTTTTCATTGCTGGTTAGGGTTTGATTAAGCAATAGCATGACATCCTTCCAGTCTAATTTGAAGGACTGACCCAGGCCTTGCAGGACATCTATGTACTTGTCTGGGTCATCTGAAAACTTATCCTAAGTCCACCTTAATTTGCTTTAAGTCAGAAAGTGAGAAAGGGGTGGGCACCTTAGTTGGGCCAAATTCTCCTACCACTGCCTGTAGGAGACAGAGTTTGGGCATCTGGGTAGTTTGAGATGCCCTATCTCGGCCCTCCCTGGCTCCTGTTGGAGTACAGGAGCTGAGGAGCCCTGGTTGGCATTGGTGGAGGTAGTTGCCACACATGTGGAGGTAGTCTTGAGGAGGGCTGAATAGGGTATGGGGCACAGGCCCAATAGAGATGAGGCTTATTCCTTAGGGAAAAGAAAAGTTGCACATAGGGGAGCTCAAACCATTTACTCTCACTTTTACATTACAGGTCTAATTGTAGAATAGTGTCATAATTTATACTTCCTTTTGGAGGCCAGGTTTTTCCACTTAGCAGGGGGTATTTTGGCCACTCTGTTTGGCAGAGAAAGGTGAGCCACTTTTTCTTCAGAAGTCATGTGTCAAATTGGTCCCAATTTTCCAGTATACATTTTAATAGGGACTTGAGCTTGGGAATTGAAATTGAACACAAGGGATGCCCGAATCCCCAGTTAAAAAAATTATAGCTGCTTCGACCTGAGGCATCCCCCAGGTAAAGTGGGTACTAAAATGAAACGTCTTTCAGTCTACCCCAAAATTTCATGTGCCCAACATGTGCTATCTGTCTTATCAGAGGGCCTTCCATGTACTGGATTCCAGTCATGACCTAACAGCATCATGGACTCACGCCCATGGCCTGCATGACCTCCAGTGACCACCATAGAGGCATGGAACAAAAGGAGCTATTGGGTTGAGTGGTAATCGTACCAACGAGCTCTGACAAGGCCAGTGAGGCTTAGGAGATGGGTACCGATATTTTCAGCAAAGGTTCAATTTTTGCAGGCCAATTTACAAAACTGCCCTAGAAGGGTAAGCTTTTAGGGAGGGGACATTAGAGCACACAGCTCAAAGAAGGCAGGCCAGGCCACTGCAACCACCCTGCCTGTTCGAGTGCCTTTTTTACACCGCCTCCAGCCAGAGGAGAAAGTTTGCCACGCCCCTGCTTGGGGATCTGCGGCTGCCATGTTGCCAGGACCATGTGTGCACCCTGGGCCACTCTCCCAGCTGGCCACTCCCCCAGCCGCTGCCCACATAGGGACCCCCTGCTGGCAGGCAAGTGCTCTGGGGGAAGTTCCCTTGTTCTGTCCCTGACTTTGGTTTTTTAACAGCCATGTTCTGTGATTTCATGCTGCCCCCAACTAGGGATCTGAACGTGCTGGCCAGTGAGCAAGCGAACCAGCAGAAGCATTTTCCCCACTGTGCTTGCTTAAGTGCTGCCGCTTTGCTCAGAACCTCCGTGCCTAGCCAGGACACACCTTAGCCTGCCCCACAGCTTTTTTCCCAGCCCAGCTGCTGCTTACTGTGGTGCTAGGCTGTGGGCAGCCCCAGTTCCCATTTTGGCCTGCAAGGAGGGAAAGGCCTGGGGGCAGGGGGGAGCGTGCCCGCTCCACCCCGCTGGTTTGCAAGCCCAACACCCGGCTGTGCCTGCCCACACCCAGTTCTACCCCTGGTACAGAGTGTTTGCTTGTCTCACCTCCCAAAGTTTTTTTTTTTTTTTTTTGGCCAGAGAAGCAGTCGAGAGAGAGAGGGGAGAGAGAGAGAGAGACAGAGACAGCTTGGAGGAAGAAATGTGCTTTTAGTTCTGGCTGGCCTTGGCCGCTTAAGATGGGCCCCGCCCCCCTCCCCTCTGCGCAGAAAGCCGGTGTGAAAGGTCCGGTATTTTCCTTACCCTTCCAAAGTAACCGTTCTTTCTTGCACTTCACTTCTTCGCCCCACTTTGGGTGCCAGTTCTGTAACCGGGTTTTTTCTTGGGTGCTGGTGAGGCACAGCTCCCCTGAGAGAATGCTGTGAGTTCTTGGGCTCTGATTTCTTAAGTGATGGGACCACTGCAGGGGCACTGTACACTTGTAGAAGTAAATATTGGACCCAAGAAGTGTTGCAGAAAGATGATTTTATTTAGGTAGAGAAAAGAGAAGAGTAGAAAAAGAGAAAGACTTCCACAAAGAATGTGGAAGGGGATTCCAGAGGGGAAATCCGGCCAGGTGTGTGTCGATACAGACTTATATCGTGGGAGGAACCCTCACCTTCTCCAAGACTCTGGGCCAATGAAAGGAGTTCCTTAGAACTTCCACTGGAGTGACTTTTAGTTTCTTTCCATGCCCGTGAAATTCAAACATAAACCGTTAAATCTCCCAGATACAGATGGCGAGAGATGGCAGGGGGGCATGGCGCTGGGAAATTCTTGCCCTTAAAACTACACCCCCTTGTGGACCAGGAAAGAGAACACATTCCCTCAGGAATACTGACCTTAACCCTTTAATACTATGTCTCGGTGTTCAATGCAGTAGGTGTCACTGGACTCCTTCAAATCAGCAGTGTGTCTAGGTTGATCACTAAGCTTTAATTATCACAGGAGAATTACAGTATCTTTCCTATTTTCCTGATTTTGTTACTGATTTTTCTTGGGATTCGAAATTTGAAAAAACAAAAATTTCCCAAGAAATGCTATAAAGGAAATCCCACTTGGAAATTCTAACCAAAACTTTTGCAAACAAAATAATGCAAAAGATAGAATGGACCAGTTGAGGTTATACTAGGAGTATAAGCTGATTTAACCTTAGAAAATCAAACAGTGTAATTCACTACATTAACAGATTGAAGGAAAATAATAATCATCAATAAATGCAGATAAACTGCTAAAATTCAGCATCTCTAATAAAACCTCACAGCAGCCTAGGGACAGAAAGGAACTTCTTTCATCTGATAAGGGAAAGATACACACACACACACACACACACACACACACACACACACACCCGCCCGCCCGCCCCGGCAGCAAACAGTAAATTTAAAGGCAAACACAAACACTTTTGTCTTTGAGATGAGGCACAGGTCTAGAATGTCCCAATATTCTTTGATGATTGTACTAAAGAGAGCTCCTAAACAGCAAAACAAGGCAAGAAAAAAAAGCAAACAGTATAAAGATTGGAATATAATCCAATAATTCAACTTCTGACATTACGCATAGATGATATGATTATATACATAGAAAATCCAAACATTACTCATATTTTATATACAGAAAATCCAAAAGAATCAAGATATTCTAGAAAGAATTAAAGGAGCTGAGATTACTGGATAGAAAAATCAATATGTAAAAACTAATTTTAATTCTAACTGCCAGTAATAATTAGAAAAAAGTTAAGAAAAAAAAAATGTCCTTTATAAGAACATGAAAAAAATAAAGTGCTTAGGAATAAAGTATGCGAGATCTCTACAAGGAAAACTAAACAGGGAAAAATCCTTACCTGAAAGATTTAACCATAAATGAAAACACTAATAAAAATGTCTGTCAACCAAAAAAACTCCATGAAGAGAGTGAAGAGACAAGCCACAGAATCAGAAAAGATGTTATGTATGCCGTACTTTAAAGGCAAAGGGATTTTTCAGAGGATAATGTCTATTATGAGATCTTACTTACCAAATTCTGAGTCATTATAATCTAATCTTTGTGGAAACTTTGACTCAACTATATTTATGCAAAATTCATTTTGTTAAAATCTAGGCAAAAGAGCCCGAAACTCTGAAGAGGACTGAATGTATTTATTTTTAAAATATGATAAATAGCTTTGCATTTAGGATGCCAGGATCTTTGTACTTTTCATGGTTTTTTTTTAAATTATTTTTTATTGCACTTTAGGTTCTGGGGTACATGTGCAGATCATGCAGGATTGTTGCATAGGTACATACATGGCCATGTGGTTTGCTGCCTCCATCTCCCTGTCACCTATATCTGGCATTTCTTCCCATGTTATCCCTCCCCAATCCCCGCTGTCCCCTCCCTGTACTTGTCATATTCTAGAATAGATCTTTTAGGCTAGAAATGTCAATTAGATCACTTTCTAGGCCCAAAGAAAGAACATTCACATTTGTGTTTTTGTCAGGATGCGATTAAGGAATGCTACCTAGGATATTTAGACTGGGCTGCAGTGTTATCAGCCTGGTGGCACAGTAGGCTCCCTGGTTTACACTGCGTGGTCAGTTGTCTGTCCTCCTCAGAGGACTGGGAGCTTTATATAGGCAGACTATGCCTGCCCTGCTCACTGCTTTCTCCTTAGGAACGAGCCCCATGCCTGGCACATAAAACACACAAATCTATGAATAAAGTGAATGAGCCTTAGTATATGCTTTCTTTTATAATTATTTATTCAAGAAACATTTTATGATAGATTCAGGTAACAGTAAAGTAATACATTCAATAGTATTAAAATCCATAGAAAATAGTTTCATTAAGGTGCAATTAAAATACTTGAAATTGGGACATATATTTCAAACCAATATACTGGCTATTTTTTAAAAGACTAGTCTATTCCAATCTTTAAGACGTCCAAAGTTTTTCCTCTTTGCTTTTTCTTAAGTGCATACATTTTGGGCATATACTATAATAACCAAGAGTTTGTGAACCCATTGATTAGGTAGACACTTTGGGGAAGAGTGGGGTGGGAGGGCTTCTCTAACAGCTTCACTATTTGGTTTTCACTGACCTTTTTCGCACTTGACTGGCAAACCCCCAATTCTTTTTCACCTGAAATCTTTTCAAGTTAGATACTGTCCATATTATACTTGTACTTATAATATACTATCTCCTTGCCCGGGACAACTTATTTCTCCAAATTTTTATTTCTTCAGCAGTAAATTGAGATGGTATCACAAATCTTGCAAGGTAAAGATCAGAGATGCTGCACATGTCAGTGACTTAGCATACAACAAATATTTTATGATTAATATTTTTAAAATCTTAACTACTCTTCATTTGTTCCTGGCAGTTTTCTATCTTGGTCATTTGCAGAAAGTGTTCCAGCTTGCCAAAATCTTTTTTTTTTTTTTTTTTTGAGACAGAGTCTCACTCTGTTGCACAGGCTAGAATGCAGTAGCAACCCTGTCTCTACTAAAAATACAAAAAACAACAACAACAACAACAACAACTTTTATAATCTTAATTCTGTTATCTGTGAATTAGTTATGTCTCATAGGTTTGTGATCTGTATGCAAATTTGATGAACTTTTCAAAACCATTGATTAGAATACTTGAACAGAACAGGAGCCTTATTGCATACATTCAAGGCTGAAGGGCAGATTAATGATGCTATTCAAAACTCTTTGGATGCATTAACTAGCAAGAATTAGCTACAAATTCATTTAACTATACTAGTATATAGTTGACAATTTCTAATTCCATCCATGAAGATTTCAAGGTTTCCTTAAAGACATTCTAAGTTTACTGCATTTCCTTGATTTACTATAGTCATAAAACTACCAATATATATACCAAATATTCATTTAGGCAGCTTAAAAGAAAAAGATACACAAAGGTAAGTTTGTAATTTGAAATGCAAAATAATATTCTGAACAGTTCTCTAGAAATCAAACCAAGAAATTTATAGTCCAAAAAGTTCTGGAGATTGGTTTTAGGGGAGGGGAAGGTGAGGAGATCAAATATGAGTGAGTGCTTGCCATTTGCAGTAAAAAGAAATGCCAACTCTTCCGAAGAAAAAAATTTATATAACCTTCAAGGTCCAAATACAAGGAGAAAGCTCAGCCACCCATTTGTTAATCTCTGCAGCTGGGATGAACATTTTCCTAAGGATGGAGAAGAGATTATACTCACTAATACATGAATGAGTAGTTTTACTTTCAGGTGGCTTTTTATCTGATGTTTATCTGATATGATTATAGTTGGGGAATGGAGAAATGTTCCATTTCTAGCTGTGTATCAAACTAAATACCTAAGCCCTTCCCTTCCAACAAAACACATAGAAATGGTGAATAAAATATAGAAAACATTCTTTGGCATAGCAGAACTTACAAGAAAGTAAGCAGAAAACCTTATGGTCAAAAATGGGGGGAATGAAAAACCAGAGCAGTAAATAAGTGAGCTGATGCCGTAGCTGTCCTGGAACAATTTGCCAATTTCATTAACCCATGGCTTTTCGCTTTGTCATCTTTATGGTGACTAAAGAACCCTGGGTTTGCAACAGGCAGGCAGGCAGTGGGAATTAAATGTACCTCCTTCCACCCCTGCCACAAAAGTAGTACACATGGGAGGCTTATACTCTCACTGAAAAAGGCACCAATCAGATATTCTGCCCACTAGCACAGGGAGATGAGGAGGAAGTGTCTCTGCCTTGGCTTGGGAAATCTATCAGTAATTTATGCTATGCTTCAGATGTAGAAACCCTAAAGCCAAGAAATTTAAATAAAAGTGGTCTTGTGTCAGCAACAGCCCTGGGAGTATGGCATAAACAGACACTCAGCGTTTCCACAGATAAAGCCTTCCTGAAAATAAGCTCACTTTTCAAAAAGATAAAAATGGATAAACAGCCTATCAAATATAAAACTCAACAGAAATAAACAGTAGGAGCTTAATTTAATAGAACTATTAGAATGAGTATCAAGTACAGACATTTAAAATAGTGACATGAAAACGTTAAAAGCATTAAAAAATGACATCAAGAAACAAACATCTGACAAATGATGCATACTTAGAAATGAAAAACAATTTCTGAAAGAAGAAAACCAATGGATAGGGTAAGAGAGATTATATAAAGCTGACAAGAGAATTCATGAACTAGAAGGCAATATATGAAGGTATCACAGGAAGATAATGTACATGAACAGTACAGAAGGGTTTAAAAGATAAAGGGAATAGAATGAGAAGGATCACTATACACTTAAAAAAATAGTAACTACACTGTGTCTTTGAAATTTGTTCTCCATAACAACTTCATTATTTAGTAATACTGTGAGTGATCTTGCTAGGAAAAATCCAAATACATTTTTTGTTTTTGAGACGGAGTTTCGCTCTTATCATCCAGGCTGGAGTGCAATGGCATGATCTTGGCTCACAGCAACCTCCACTCCCAGGTTCAAGAGATTCTCCTGCCTCAGACTTCTGAGTAGCTGGGATTACAGGCACCCAACAACACACCCAGCTAATTTTTGTATTTTTGGTACAGATGGGGTTTCACCATGATGACCAGGCTAGTCTTGAAATCCTGGTTGAAACTGGCATTTCAGCAGTATATCTGTTCTAATTCACACTAAAGGAAAAATCATCACTCCTGCTGCTTCCATTGTTTTCAGCCATTGCATTGTATGTCAGTGATTCTACTGAAAATGACATAAGTATGTATTTGAGAAGAAGAAATAAACATTTAGCCTAGAAATGGAACATGAATAACCATTATTTCTAAAGAGTAAGAGCAGAGATGTTTCTTAAGACCATCAAAACATTTTTGTGTGGTGATTAAATCAAGTACTAAAACCAGCATTCAAAAAAACCCCACAATAGTTCACTTAGTTAAATATAAGTATGTTGGCAGGTTAGAAATAAAGACTAAAATAGAATTTCTAAAGGCTGAATGCAAGGGTAATTCATATGCTAAAGATCACACCCAAGCTTTCCATCCTGGGAAAAGTCGGCTGAGATTTTTGGGGTCCATGGCCTGCTGTATGAGCAAATTTACTTGTCCACCAACACTAAGCACAGTGCCTTCTTCCACTCCTTTCAGTTTCTCTTGTAGTCTCATTAAGACACGTTCAGCTACTTTGTTGAAACTCTGGTCAATATCACTAATGATAAAAACACAAAGGTTTCAGTGACATGAACAGTTTAAAGAACTTGGGAATAGGAAAATCTGAACAACTGACAAATTGTTCCCCTGAGATTATAAAATACTGCTCACCTGAGATTTCGTTTGCATTCTTGGTCATCTGCATTCAAAGTAGAGTGAAGCTCAGTTTCATCCTCTGGCCTCTGCTGTAAATACAAAGCTTTCAAAGGATTCATGGTCCAGTCAAAGAGTGGATCATACAGAAGGACCTAAACAGAGAGAACATGTGTATCAAAAGAACAATGTACACTGTAATCTTGTACTTAGAAACAGTAGAACCAGTATCATACAAATAAGAGAGGCCAGTCATGTGGTAGTTGATGGGGGAGGGTAACAAACATCACATACACTTCATGTTTCTTTGTGGAGGGAAGCTCTCCTAGCATAATGCTCCAAGCTTCTAATTCCATCCTGAATTCGTTCTTCCTCTATGGTTGAGTTGTCATCCCGTGACCCACATTTCCCTACTGGATGAAACTAATCTATTAAAAGGAGATATGCGTTAGTTACTTTCTTTCCTTCTCTCTCTAGTCTTAACCCTGGGTTAGGGTATTTGCTTTGTTGGGCCCAATTATCCTCAGCCAGGCTGTCTCAAGGTATACATTGAGTTGTGGGAACTGGAGAGCACGAGCAGGCCTATTTGGACTGCACTCCTAAGCCATGTTCTCCAATAGTTTTATTAGTAATAAACCTGAAATTCTGATCCACCCCGCTAGTATGGTTCTCTCTTTTTCTCTCAGTTCTAAATCTGGGCGGAGCAGAAAGGTAGAATTTGTTGAAACCTCCTCAAAATCCAAGATTTCGTGCTGTGTTTGGAATCTGGAGATATATATTAGGTGTAGAATCAGGATACCAAAACAACTAACATGACTAAAGCAAGTGGCTTTAGGTCATAAATTTTAGACAGTGAGGTCATGAGGAATTTGTGATATTCGCAGTTCACAACAGCTAACTGCTCTGGTATTTATAAACACAGAACTTAAAAAAATTAGCTTTAGTAAATGCATACAAGTCTTCATAATAAGTGGAAACAATACAGAGAATGATTCTACAGGGCATTCCAGTATTACAAGGTTGGAACACTTTTTTGCTGCTATTTGTACACAGTTTCCCAATAAATCTGCAGGTTGGGACTATAAAATGCATTTAGCAAATTTAGTTTCAGGACATGTATTGATCAGCAGAACCAAAATCTATTTATTAATGCTGTTTTGAATGTCCTCCAGGACCATTAAAAACAGTGGAGAAACAGCTTGATTACATGTGGCTTGTTTGTAAGTTCAAGGGTTCCTATGTGACTTCAAGTTGGGCACTGACATGGCTTTAGATTTCAGAGATCCAAACCAGTTTCACCCACAAAAGGGAAACAGTAATATATTTTATTAATGAACTAATGAAAAGGAATGAAGGCCTCTAGTATAGACTAGATGGTTTTCTTGGGTTGAAGTAGAGGAAAAACCCAAATTACTTCAAAACCAAGGGCTTGTGTCAGGAATCATATTTGCAAATATTAGAATTAGGAGGAACTGGAATAAGTAAAAAAAACATGCTTCAGTCTTACAATCAAGACAGAAGTGATTGAAAACAATAAAGGAATACAGACTGATTAGAGCAGGGTTTCTCAGTCTCAGTACTACTGTCATTTTAGATGGGATACTTCTTTGCTGAGGGAGCTAACCTGTGCATTCTGGGGTATTTAGCAGCATCCCTGGCCTCTACTCAGTAGATACCAATACTATCCTCATCTCCCATCCCCATTTGTGACAACCAAAAATGCCTCCAGACATTGCCAGCTGTCCTCTAGGGGACAAAATTGCTCTTGGCTAAGCATCACTGAGCTAGAGGGAGAGAGATACTTCCTTAGCACAGCATATAGAATCTTAGAGGACAGAATGGTCCATTAGGAAGAAAATGAAATCCTGAAGGCCAGGAGAGACAAATATACTGAGAGGAAAAGGGAGATACACCCAGGTCAAAGTGCTCTGAAAGAGGGGTTTAGGAAGTGGGGAGATGAGATCAGAAATAGTGACTGTGGCTCAATGAAATCTAAGAGAAGAAAAGAAATGAATCCAAGAGAGGAGAGAAGTGATGTCCCACAAGATTGGGAACCAGGATGCTATTGAAACACACCCTTCTAAAGCTGAAGGCAGAAAGTGGTCTTACTGTGGTAAGGTCACTGGGAAAATTATTCTTGAAGATTGGGACAGTCATACCAAATGATTTTGGGAAATTTGGACAGATTTATGGAGGGAAGATTAGGTAGATGAGTGTAAAATACACAAAGCATTGGAGGGTGTGTTTAGAGGTAAGAGTTATTGTAGGTGAAGATGCAAATCATTTTTCAGACTCAAAATCCTCACTCAAAGGAAATCCAAAGTCCTTACAATGGCGTAGGATCTGGCCACTGTCCCTTCTCTAACTTGACCTCCTACCACTCTAAAAAATGAAGTCCATAAGCAGTTTGGCATGAAACTAAAAAGATTTCTGAGGCCCTAAAAGAACTACCCTCTTCTGGTGAGTGTTAGGTAGGATACAACTACTGGAATACAACTCTTAAATCTACCTCAGCATAAAAATCCCTTCTGACTGAGACTACGTAGAGTAAAATACTAAAGAATATGTTGGCTGGGCGTGGTAGCTCACACCTGTAATCTCAGCACTTTGGGAGGCGAGGTGAGCGGATCACAAAGTCAGGAGTTTAAGACTAGCCTGGCCAACATGGTGAAACCCTGTCTCTACTAAAAGTACAAAACTTGTCTGGGTGTAGTGGCAGGCACTTGTAATCCCAGCTACTCAGGAGGCTGAGGCAGGAGAATCGCTTGAACCTGAGAAGTGGAGGTTGCAGGGAGCTAAGATCACTGCACTCCAGCTTGGGTGAAAAGAGTGAGACTTTGTCTTAAAAAATAAATAAATAAATAATATGTTAAGCTGCTTTGACTCTTGAAAAATTTGGGCTTGTCTTACATGAGAAAGGGCAAGATAATATAACTTTAGAGTTTAATTTCTACATGATTGAGGCATCCATGTTATCATTTATTCTTTTTTTAAAATGTTATACATCATGCTTATTTTCTGTATCATTTATTCTTACTGCAGAACCAATGGCAAACTGTAATGAATGATAACATGAATGAATAGAATTTGAAATGGGTAAAAGAAAAAAGAATGTATTTTCAGCCTTGGGAATAGCACAGCCTTGGATTTAATTTTACCAACATATTATTGGGACCTATTTCAGCAAACTCTTTGTAGCAAAATCTGTATTACCATCAGCAATTCAAATGAGATCTATAAGATGCCTTGGTTCATAAAGGTGCACACAGGACCACCCTGATAGACTGTTACTCATCTTCCAAGGGATAAAGCCCCACCCTTGCTGACCACAGGCTTAATGGTTAATGCCAATGAATTAAGACAGTAGTTCTCATATCCTGGCTGTATAGTAGGAGAGATTTTTAAAAATACATATATTCCTGCCCCATCCCTAAAAACCTGCTTTAAATTTGGTCAGCATCAATGTTTTTTAAAAGCAGTACAAGTAATACTAACATTCAGCCAGTCCAATGTTAACAATTTAAAGAAAGAAAAGGCTGAAGAATGGAAAAGAGGGATGCCCATACACACTTCACCTGCCATGTTTCCTTGGGGAGGCAACACTCCTGATTTCTTGTCTCACATACCCTTACCAGGTTGGTGAATGACTGGCATAGGTACTAACAGCATAGACACTAAAATTTGTTTGACTTCCGTTTTTCTGCCCTGGATCAAGACAAGGCAGTGATCCTGATTACATGTGTTTGCTCTGCAGGCCCAAACCCCTACTCAGGTGAGCTGTCCCAAGGTTAAGACAGCAGAGAGGCACTGAGGTAGCATGAGCAGTAAACTAGTTTGGCCCACATTCCCAAGCTTGTTACTCTAGTAATGATGCTGACAATTTGATCTCTGTTTATCTGACTAATTAGTTCTGAACCTGGGCAGGGAAAAAGGAGATATAAAGTACTGATTTATCTTAAACCCTAATGGAAACCATTCTGAAAATAATAATACCATATGGAATATCTAAATGTCAAAGAGTTTATTTATGAATTGAAAACTAGAGACTACTTATAATGCTATAACATTCCAAGAAACTCAAGGGGGCTGAAGGCATTTCTAAACCAGTATTTTTGGATGTGTGAAAAGGCTAAGAGCGCAATCTCCTCCTTCCTGCTGCCCAGCTGCATTCCCCTGTGTTAAAATGAAGCAGTGCTCTTTAAATCAGTGACTTCCTGACGAGATACATAGTCTCTCTGGTAATTAAAAAAAAAAAAAAATTAAGTCTTCCTTATAAAATACTTTACCTCTACAATGGTCAACAGAGTTTCCTTAGAGTTTCTCATCACTTCCATGGTTTTCTCACAGCACCTAGAGTCAAACACATTATAAATACAGATTTTGTTACACACCAATGTTTTCAACAAATCTTTATCTGTATACTCTCTTGTGTAGTATGCTTAGCCTATACTTGTAAATCTACAAATTTGTATCTCAAAATAGCATAATACTTTGCAGAGTGGGCTCTCTATAATACAAATATGTATTTGACTATTTCACAAGCTTGGCATTTACACAAATAACACTACTGCGAAACATTTCTTTCAGTCTTTGATTTTCTTTTCTTTTCTTTTCGCAATGGGGTCCTTCAGCATTTCCCAGGCTGGTCTCAAACTCCTGGGGTCAAGTCATCCTCCTGCCTCAGCCTGCCAGGTAGTTAGGATTACAGGTATGCACCACTATGCTCAGCTCTCAGTCTGACTATTGTGGCAGTTATTAGTTTACACTGACTACAATCTGTCCCAATCCAAGTTGAGTACATAGACCTATGCTGGGAAAACTACAAGGAGCTGCAAAGCTTTTTTATAGCCCAGTGTTATATTAGAAGACAAGCTCCTTTAAATAAAAATGTTGTCTCTTCTATATCCCCAACAATGAGCATCCAATAGTAGTATCATTAAAAAGCCAGGACAGGTGTTAAAAGTAAAGGCAGGATGCTTCCAGAGGAGGTTAGGAATAACCATATGTATGTTATATGGGGTTAGGTCCCAGGTGGGTAGAAGGAAGGGGAACTATTACTGCTTTTACCCAGGGTCTTTTCCTTAGTATTGATAAAGCACTGGGATATGATTCTAGCATTAAATTCTATAATTATGCAAATCTCTTATATATATATATATATATATATATATAATTTTTTTTTTTTTTTTTTAAGAGACAGGGTCTCGCTATATTGCCTAGGCTGGACTCAAACTTCTGGGCTCAAATAATCCTTCCACCTCAGCCTCCTGAGTAGCTGGGATTACAGGTGCAGATTAATAAATTAATAAATACAGATTTTGTTACACACCAATGTTTTCAACAAATCTTTATCTGTATACAAAGGCACCATGCCAAGCCCATGTAATTCTGACATCAGAAATTACTTCCCTCCTTTATCTTATATCATTTACCTTCTGAAGACACCTTCAACACCAGTAATGCCCATGCCATCCACAATATCTCTGGTGAGTCTAAAAGGAACTGTCTCAGGAGTAGGAAGAATTTTGCCCTGTTCGAAAGCAACACCTAAAGTAAAAAATATAGTGAGGTTAGGAGGTTTGACAGCTAATTTACTTTTTTCCCATTAGAATGTGAACTTTAAAAAGGCAACAAAACATGTTATCTATGTTCTATGAATACTAGTAGACATAGTAGTTTATTTCTGCTCTGGCTGCCTTCCTCATCTTCTTCACTGTCTATGAGTTCCACTTCAAATCCAAATAACGTAACTACTTCTTGAGGTAACTAGAGAAATCTAGGTTAAAGGGTGATTTTTAAAAATGAAGTAACTACTGGGATAATTTTAAATGGAGGTGATATATTTATTTATATTTAAAAAAATATTAGGCTGGGCATGGTGGCTCACACCTGTAATCCCAACACCTTAGTAGGCTGAGGAGGCCTGCTCACCTGAGGTCAGGAATTCAAGATCAGCCTGGCCAACATGGTGAAACCCTGTCTCTACTAAAAATACAAAAATTAGCTGGGCATGGTGGCAGGTGCCTGTAATCCCAGCTACTCAAGAGGCTGAAACAGGAGAATCACTTGAACCTGGGAGGCAGAGGATACAGCGAGCTGAGATTGTGCCATTGCACTCTACCCTGCGGCAATACAAGTGAAACTCCATCTCAAAAAAAAATGAGACTTTAAATTATGAAATAATTATATGTTCACTTGCAGTTATAAGAAATCATACAGAAAAGATCATCCCATATGCCTTTTACCCATTTCACCCCAACTGTAATAGCCTAAAAAACTATAATACTACTGACATCGATGCAGTCAAGATATATCATATTCCTATCATAAGGATCCTTCATGCTGCCCTTTACGGCCACACCTACTTCCCTCCCACAGCCTATCACCCAGCCCCCTAACCTCCTACTTTTCTAGCAACCACTCATCTGTACTCCATTTTTATAATTTTGTCATTTTAAATATGTTATATAAATGGAAGTGGAATAATAATACAGTATGTAACCTTTTGGGAATAGTTTTCTACACTCAGCCTAATTCTCTGGAGATTCATCCACATTGTTATGTATATTAATAATTTTGTTTCTTTTGATTGCTGAGAAGTATTTCAGGGCATGGATGTAACACAGTTTATTTAAGCACTTGCCCACTGAAGGACATCTGGATTTTTCCAGTTCGGTATTATGAATAAAGCTGCCATATACATTTGTAGTACATGACCATTTTATAAGTACATATTGTTGTTAAGTTTTGAGAATTCTTAAAGATTGTTCTTTTGGTATCAAGTCTAGGAACTCTGTTTAGCCCTAGATGCTGAAGATTTCCTCTTAATTTTTTTCCTCTGTTGCTCAGCTAGAGTAATTTCTACTGTTCTGTCTTCTGTTCACTGATCATTTCTTCTGTCTCCTCAGTCTGCAGTTGAAATTTTGTATTTTATTTACCATATTTTTCTGTTCTGAAATTTCCATCTGGTTCTCCTTTATATCTATGTCTATATGAGACTATTTCCGTGCTGACACTTACTATATTTTCATTTGTTTCAAGCATGTTTGTAATTGCTCCTTCAAGTGTTATGATGGCTGCTTTAAAATCTTAGATAATTCCAATACCATTGTCGTCTCAGTGTTGGCACCTACACGTGGTCATTTTTCATTGAAGTTGAGATTTTCCTGGTTCCTGGTATGACTAATGATTTTCAATTGATGCCTACACCTGTTAGTTATTAGAGATTCAGGATCTTCCTTAAACTTCTGCTTTTGATGCCTTTGGGAGTCACCACCTTGTTACTGCTAGGTAAGGGCCGAAGACTAGATTCTCCAATGGCTTCCACTGACACTCAGTAGAGAAAGGGCTTGCTATAGCTGAGCAAGGCTGAAAGTCCATGTTCTACAGATAAATGCACTGACACCAAGGGGTGAATCAGAAGAAAGCCTGGAAAATATAGACTAGCAGGTAATGGTATAAATGATACAGTGAGAAGGCCTAACATAGGGTTATTGGAGTCCCACAAACAGGGAAGAACCTGTATGGACCCTATGACATTACTATGACTAATAGAATGTGATGGAAGTGATACTGTGAAAGTTGCAGGCCTAGCCCTTGACTTCCACTTTCTTCCTCAAGCCCCAAGATGCTAAGTAGGTCCAGGATACTATTTTGGACAGAGAGGCCGCATATGAGTGCTGAAACATCAGACATGTAAGTGAAGAAGCCATCATGAACTCTGGCGCAGTTGAGTCTTAAGATAACTCCAGCCCCAGATGCTAACTGCAACTGCCTGAGAGATCCTAAGTGAAAACTGCCCAACTGAGCCCAGTTAACAGACTGTGAGAGATAATAACAAATTGTGATTTTAAGCTACTAAATTTTGGGGGTGGTTTGTTATGCAGGAACAGGTAACCAAACAGATATACACAGAATAGTATACAAATCACCCAAGTGTGTGACTCACTGAGACTTTTGCAAAGTGAACAAATCCATGTTAACAGAACTCTACCAGCATTCCAGAGGCCCCCCCTTCAACCCCTCCTACCAGTCACTAACCACCTCTTCAAAGGGTCACCACTATCCTGATTTAGAACACTGTACATTAATTTGATCAGTTTTTGAATTTCATATATGGAATTATACATATGTAATCTTTTGTGTCGGAGTCTTTCATTTAGCATTATATTTGTGAGTCTTCCATATTGTGTGTTATTGTTCATTCAATCTTGTTATATACAAAGAGAGTATAAATATACGACAGTTTGTTCATCCATTCCACTTATGATGGATATCTGGACTGTTTCCAGTTAGGGGCTATTACAAATAGTGCTACTATAAACATTTTTATACATAAGTATGCATTTCTGTTGGAGTGGAATCGATGGGTCACAGGGTATACATAAAGTCAGCTTTAGTGGATAATGCCAAACAGTATTCCAAAGGGGTTATACCAATTTACCCTTCTCATTTATAGATGCTTTTAGCACGACCTGGAAGGACACAGGTTGGCATACTCGTACCTCTGTTTTGCATCTTCCAAACCACTGCCCTTTCATTCTCATATAAAGTCTCACTCCTCTGTTGAGATCCCCACCTTCTGGCTCTAACAAATCTCTCCCATCTTCATGTTTACTATGTAAACCTGTAAGTTTTCTCTCACATTCACTGAATGTTAGCATGGACCTAGGTCACAATTTCCCCCTCTATCACAACTCTAGAAATCATTCTGGGGAAAATCATATAATATCTGTGACCATCTCTGTTCTAATGAAATTCAATTTCATTCTATCTTAGCGAACCACTCATGGGCTGCACTTCAGAAATAAGTCTAAAACTGCACCTTCTTAGACACTGTAAATTCTACATTCTAATCAAAACCTCTTCTCCTTCTACCCATTATTCTTACTAAACGGTCTTCAAATTTGACTGAGATTTCAGTTTATTAGCCTTCTTCCTTCCCTACTCAGCCTGGGGGTATAGATAATAGGCTTGATTACTCTCACCAGTACTTCAAATCTCCTTGTCCCCTTGGCCCTCTGTCACATCCACCATTTTAAACTACAACTTAAACTCCAAGGATGTTAAGGACTGCTGGAAAAAAATCATACAACAACACTATTGGCTCCACTACAAATTTAGGATTGTCACCTTAGGAAAGTGCCCCTTAAACTGCTTGGCATGTCTTATTTATTTATCCCTTTTTAGTGAGGTTTTGGTCTCATTTTCATGGTAAATTTTAGAATTTTACTGTTAAGGCCAATTACCATCCCTCCAATTCTAAGCAAATGAGCATGCTTTCTAGTTCTCAGCGAAAACAGAATATATTAGCAAATACAATTCCTTCATATTCTTCCCCTCCAGCTTAAGACTTTCCTACTGGCATCATTTTTCCTTCTCTCTCAGCAGAAAAGCTAACATGCCTCCAATCTAAAGCCAATGCTAACATACTCTTGTACTTTATGATTTCTCTTGCTATTTCAATTATCTTTTGTTTTTCTCCTGTATCTTCAATATCTAACATGTTCACACCTCTCCTATCTTAAAAAAAGCAAGGACCAAATGTGTCTCTCATCCCTGTGGCAAATTTCTCTGCCATCCTTCCCTTTCCTTCTAAACTTCTTGTAGGAAGATTCAACATTCTTAATTTACACATCCTTCACTTCCATTCAGTCCTTGCCTTTTTACAGTATGGCTTCTTCCATTCTATCCAAAGGGGTCTTCCAAGGCCTCTAAGGTTGATTACTTGTTAAATTCGAAGGTCTGTTTTCAGCATTCATCCTTTCTGACCTTTCTGTATCAGATACTGTTAAGCACTACTTTCATAAAAGATTTTCCCCTCTTGCCTTTCAAGATCCTGACTTCCTAGTTTCCATGACTTGAGTACTTTTCAGTTTTTTTTTTTTTTTTTGACTCAGCCTTTCAAAGGCTCACTTTCCTTATGATTTCATCTCTAGGTCTCTTTATCGAGGTTGATGTGTAACATCAGAACTTCCTCTAGCCCAGTGACTTCAGCTGAAATGTATTTGCTAAAGATTCTGGATCTCCATCATTACATTCAAACTCCTTTCTTTTCTATATATTAAAGTGTCTATTCAACCTAGAAATCCCATTAATACTTCAAAATAATGAGCAAAATTAAATTCATCACTTTCTTATTATTTACAAAACTTGATATATTCCTTAGCTAGAAGCTTCAGTTATCCTTGAGCCCCACTTCCCCGTTATTTCCATATCTAACATCACTGGTACAGTTTACTACAAATATGTCCCTCAAATCCAATCTCCTGGTTTCTACAACTTTAGTACAAATCTTCATCATTTCTCATCTAAACTATTATAATATCCCTTAACTTGTCTTCCTGCTGCCAATCCCACTTCCCAAAGTGCTCCTGAAATTATCTTTCTGAAAATAAAATATGCTGAAAATAAAAAAAAAAAACAACCCAATATTTACTGCTTTGATGTATGTATCTCTCTCTCTTATTGTAACATCTTGGTAGGCAAACAACATTCCATTATGACCACATATTTATTAAAAAGAATAAAGAAACACAGATTTTATTACTTACCTAAATCTATATGTACAAGTTCTGCTGACTGCTCATTTATTAAGATATTCTGTACATGTCTATCACCAAGTCCAAGTATGTAACCAACTAGAAAAAAAAGAATCTGAAATCACTGATTGCATTTCTTTCTAATATACAGCCATAATTTCAACTAACACCACTGACTTGTTATAATCTTTAAGTAGTTTAGGATTTTTAGCCTACTTAAATGATGTACATAACCAGCCATATTGAGTTTAAGTCAAATCTTACCAGCTATTTTAATGCATACTGCATTTTATATATCCTAGATGATTTGCTAAAACAATTTTCTCTTTACTAATAGGCACACATTTAAAAATATTAGTACTTAAAAATTATTGTGGCTAAAGTTGGGACCCATTATTTACCTGGGCCAAAGCAGTGTATTATATGTACTCAAATATTTATTGAACATGAGAAATTTATGGATAAATTCTTCATTCTTCAGTGCAACTTTCTTCTGCTTGATGAATTATATTTAACACAAATTAATTATTAATTCATTTCATTTCACCAGGTATATATCCCCAGGAAAAAGTGCATCTCTGTATTTAAGACAGATGACGGCATGCAATAATGGGAGAAACTACATAGCATGATAAAAAAGAACATTGAGAAGGGAGTCAGAATGACTGGGTGTCTGGCTCGCCCTGTCATTAACTGGGCCTACTTTCTTGTTTATAAACTAGTTGTATCAGATTAGTTATTTTCTAACTCTTTCAAAACATACATGCCCTGCCTTCCTGGGGCATAGCACATAGGTAATGGAGGGAATGGTCTTTATTAAAAAAAAAAATAGATTAATGATCTCTAATGTTTTCATTAGTTTTCATACTCTAGGATTTTGCTAACCATACTATTTAGCTATTCTAATTTCTTAGGGGAAAAAAAGTCAAAATATATATTGTACACAAAATATTTATATATATCTCATGATTTCTATTCTGAAAACAAAATTCTATTAAACAGTGTTAATCACTAGGTGATAACAGCATGGCATTTTAGAGGTTATATGCAAAAGAACACAAATAATTAAAGGAAATAAGTTATCACAGGTTTTATTATTTTCCAAAGAAAGTCTCAGAAAATAATATACTGAGGGGAGAGAAAATATGCCATATTCACTATGAAACAAAGAAGAAAACCCTGTCTTTTTATTATTTATCAAAGTAGGAGAATTCTTTTCTGCATAAGCTATAAAAAGGTAGACACTAAGAATCAGCATGAACAAGAAACAAACATAATGATTTAATAATGAAGATGGTTTGGTTACCAACCACATCGTCACCATCATCCCCTTGCCACTCAGAATGTACAAAAAATGCTGAATCAAACAAAAACAAAAACTGCCAAACAACAAAGTGCTGAAGCTACTATATGTACAAGAAGGTTACCAATAGAAGAAGTGGCTACACTGCGCGTATAAGCCAATCGCTTCTCAAACCAAATAGCTGGATCCAAGAATTTTTCCATGCAGAAATAACGGAAAACCGGTTGAAAATTTTGGCAAATATCCATGAAGATTTCATATTTCTCTTCAGAAGACATTTTTTGCACCTCCTTTAAATAGAGCATATATATAATTTATTTTTCAATATTGTGTTCAACGAATTCAACTAATATCCACATTTTTATATAAAAAATATGACAAGATATAGGGGCAAGAACGATGAACAGGATACATTACCCACAGGAAGCTAACAGTCTGAAAGGGGGAGCAATTAATTACAAGTGGTAATCCCTTTAGGATTTCGTATTAATCATTGGGAAAGGAAGCATACCCACAGTGACTGTTACTTGTTTTGATTATATTCTAATTTGAATAATCCTGTAATCTTAAGCAGAAGTAAACACAGAAATGACAAAGTAGTTCCAGATAACTTCAGGTGGCGGCATCACAGCATTGGGCTGCAATAGGAAACAGGAAAAGAGAAAGAATGGAGGAATCCCTTATGGATGGCAGTTGATATGATTCAGATCTCTATCTTCCAACATCTTGCTATAAAATACTATCATGAAGCAAAGCTTACCGACTTCAACTCTCTCCCATCTATGTGCTGATGATTTCTAAATCTGTATCTATATTAAGCCCAAGTAGCTTTTTTGGGGGTTGGGAGGGGAACGGAGTTTTGCTCTTGTTGCCCAGATTGGAGTGCAGTGGCACCATCTCGGCTCACTGCAACCTCTGCCTCCCAGGTTCAAGCAATTCTTCTACCTCGGCCTCCTGAATAGCTGGGATTTCAGGCATGTGCTACCATGCCTGGCTAATTTTGTATTTTTGGTAGAGATGGGGTTTCTCTATGTTGGTTAGGCTGGTCTCAAACTCCCAACCTCAGGTGATCCGCCTACCTCAGCCTCCCAAAGTGCTGGGATTATAGGCATGACCCACCGTGCCTGGCCTTAAGCCCAAGTATCTTTATTAAGCACTAGCTTAATGTGCTTCTTTAGCTGCCCATTCAACATCTCCACCTGAATCACTTCCAAATCCAAGTACTTCATCTCTGGCAAACTTTAGTCACCTCCTCTATTCTTCAATTCAGTAAACAGCCTCACCATCTACCTAACTGCCCCAAGCAGAAAACTGGGAGGCACGGACTACTCCTTTTCCTCCCCCCAAAAAAAGTTGTGTTTTTTTTTTGTTTGTTTGTTTTGTTTTTTGAGACAGGGTCTCTCTGTCACCCAGGCTGGAGTGCAGGGTTGTGATCACAGCTCACTGTATCCTCGGTCCCTGGCTCAAGCAATCCTCCTGCCTCAGCCTCCTGAGTAGCTGAGATTACAGATGTATGCCACCATACCTGGCTGACTTTTTATTTTTTGTAGAGATGGGGTGTCATTCCACTATGTTGCCCAGGCTGGTCTTAAACTCCTGGGCTCAAGGAATTCTCCTGCCTTGGTCTCCTTAGTCCCTTATGGGATTACAGGCATGAGCTACCAGACCCGGCCCCCAACCTTATTTTTAAACAGCAATCAAATTCTAAGAATTCTGCCTCCTTCGTAGTTCTCATCTCTACCCACGATTCTCCCTTCCTACTGCTATTCGTCTCAGTTCAGACCATCTCATACCTCCAATTTGCATTCTCAAAAACAGAACCCACAGTGCTGTCAGAGATTCTTTCTAAATGCAAGTCTATCACTATCCTTAAGGCCTGTAGCATAAAGTGCAAACTCCTTTGTATTTCATAAAGCAACCCTCCATCTTTGGACCAACAATTACTGCTCCACCTTCAACTATCTTTTCCTCCTCAAACACTAAGCCTATGCTGTCTTTGCGTGCTCATACCTCCTTTCCTTTGCATATATGCTCCTTATGCCTGGAAAAACAACTCATTTACAAAACCGGCTCACACACCTCCTCTGTGAAGCATTTCTTGGATCTACTTCTCTCCATTCTCCTCACCCCAGGTAGAACTAACCACTTCCTTCTCCATACCTACACTGTACCCTGTGTGCCCCATACAAATAGCCATCACAACACCTAGCACTTACCACACATTTTAAAAAACATGTCACAGAAAGCACAATAAAATGAAAAGCAAATGGACTTTGGATTTAGACAAGGCTTAAATCCTTGCTCTGTTAATTAGCTCATTGGCCTTAGGCAGGTTAAGTTCTTTGAACTTCTCATTTTAAAATAGGAATAAGATCATGATGATTAGTCATACTATTTGTGAAGTCTTAAGTCAGCACAGTACCTGGTAGATAGAAAGCATTCAATAAATGTTGCCAATTCAGTGAATGAATATCAGACTAGATAGCCAGTGTGACATGGTAAATGTCTTAGGTTTTCTATATCAGTTTCATAAAAAATCATTTCATAATCTTCTTGTTTTATGGTGTGTGTGTTTTTTAGAGATGGGGTTTTGCTCTGTTGTCTAGGCTGGCCTCAAAATCCTGGGCTCACATGATCCCCCAGGATCAGCCTCTCAAGTAGCTGGGATTACAGGTGCATGCCATCACGCCTGGCATTTTAGTGTTTTGTTTGTTAAGAATTAGTTTATCCCAAATTGAAAACAAATCAGCACACACTGAATAACCTTTACATTTCTTATGTGACAACGGCTGACATATTATGTAGTTTAAAATCCTTCTTTTTTTTACTCACACACTTTCATTCTGATGAATTTCCTTTCTTTTACTTAGTATCTTTGACAATTACCTGATGAAATTAAAGTTTTTTGTATGCTATAATATCTGATAGCTGTCAGCTTTAATAAGCTATTGAATAATCTTGAAATAACCTTTAATTTTGGGTGTCACTCACCATCATTTTCTTCTGGCACTGTAAGGCACTGAAATCATTTGGCCTGTATCTTTTATGAGCACCATCTTCATTGTTAACAAGAAATTCACCAATAGGGACAGTTCCTGTGCACCACTCAAGAACACCACTTCGCTGAGAGAGGGGAACCACCTGAAGTTATAGATTAAATATCTTTTAATTTTAAAAGGCCATTAAAGAGCATTTGATGATCATTCAACTATCAGAATCAGTGCAAAGCATTTTTTTCAAGTTGTATTAGTAGTTCTCTGTCCACAGAAGACAAAGCTCCTTGGAGGAAAGCATCCAGAAATAAACTAAAGCTCAAAGAATATAATTTTCTAGCCTGCTGCTTAGATGTTTGAGAGCTTGCCCATCATTCAATCCCCTCAATTCTCTGAGAGGTCACTCCTGTTAATTATACTCACTGTCATCTGCCATTGATCCATACTTAGATTGTCCAGTTAGGAGAGGAATTAACTCTGTTTTCCTTACAATTTTAATATCAATTAAATTTGGAGAATTTCACTTGGAAAATATTGCCCATGAATGTGGTTTCAATTTTAGTGTAACTTAATTAGTGAAATTACATGTACTCTTGCTTTACAGTCTTACTATCTTCACAGAGAGAAAATGTACTCCTAAATATAAAATGAGTAATTTTACTAGGAAAGCTTTTTGAAAATTATATTATAAACATACATAAAGTATAGAAAATAATATTAACAAATACCCTTTTATCCATTAAACAGCTTTATCAAATCTAGGATTTTCTCACATTTGCTGGGGGAGAGATGAAGCTCTCCCTTGTGTGCTTCACTGACCCTATGTCCCTCCCCATCAAGATTACTGTTAACCGGTTTATCATGTTCATGTATTTTTCGGTATATTTTTTTATCTCAAAGCTATATGTACCTAAATAGTTTTAAGTATTAAGTGAAGAATTATTATACTACATGTATACTTCTGTAATTTGGCTTTTTATTCAATACTTTATTCAACACTATTTTATCTTTACTATGTGAGCATATTGAACTCTACATCATTCACTTTAACAGCTATGTACTACATAAATACACCACAATTATCCAATCTGCATATTAACATTTACATTGTTTCCACATTTTCATGAAATACGGCTGCAATGAAATAGTCTACTGGTGAACATACTTCAGTTTCTCTAGGGTAGGAGTGTCTAATCTTTTGGCTTCCCTGGGCCACACTGAAAAGAATTGTCTTGGGCCATACATAAAATACGCTAACAGCAATGACTGCTAATGAGCTAAAAAAGAAAAAAAAAAAAAAATCTCAAAATGTTTCAAGAAAGTTTCCAAATTTGTGTTGGGCTGCACTCAAAGCCATCCTGTGGGCTGCATGTGGCTGGCCCGTAGGCTGTGGGTTGGACAAAGTTTGTTCTAAGGTATATGCCCAGGGAACTGACCAGCTGAGCCAGAGATGTGTATCTTCAACTTGGTTAACCAGATATTGCCAAATAACTATTCAAAGTGACTGGACTGATTTACATACCCACCAGCAGAGTTATACCATAACTTTTCCAATACTGTACTTACTGTCAGACTTTTTGTATTTTGCCAATCTGAGGGTATGTAATAGTATGTCACTGTGGTTTCAATTAGTATTTTTCAGATTACTAGTAAAGTTGAATATCATTGTATTCTTCATATAAATCCCTTGTTCTTTATATTAAAATGATCTTTTTGTTATTAACATTATTATATTTGTTTTCTAAGCTGGTCACTTGTCTTTATGGTGTTTTTAATTCTATACATTTTTAAATTTTAATGCTGTCACGTTGAACTGTTTTGTATCATAAGGAGACATTTAATTAATTTATTAACATGTATTTGTTGGGAGTCTATTACGTGTTACACACAGGGCTAGGGCACTGAGAACAGAGTGGCAAAAAGGCAGATGAAGACTATGCCCTCATCGACTTTCATTTTGGTGAGGGAACACGTATCTTAATTAACATTTCAGCTCGGCATGGGGGCTCACGCCTATAATCCCAGCACTTTGGGAGGTCAAGGCAGGTGGATCACAAGGTTGGTAGTTCGAGACCAGCCTGACCAACATGGTGAAACCCCATCTCTACTAAAAATACAAAAGTTAGTCAGGCGTGATGGCTTGTGCCTGTAATCCCACCTACTCAGGAGTCTGAGGCAGGACTATCACCTGAACCTGGGAGGCAGAGGCTGCAGTGAGCCAAGATCACGCCACTGCCCTCCAGCCTGGGCAACACAGTGAGACTCCATCTCAAAATAAAATAAAATTAAAAACACTTCATGATGTCAGATTTTAAGTATAAGAGAACAAAACAACTTAAGTTTAAAAAAAAAAGAAGTGTGTAACGGCAACCCAGTCAGAGGCCTTTCTGAGGGCGACACTGGAGCAGAAGCCTGAATGAAGTAAGGGAGTGTCTGGTGTGAAGATATGAGGGAAGAGCATTCCAGGCAGAAGCAGAAAAGCCCTGAAGCAGAAATAAATTAGTGTACCTAAGCTATTGCAAAAGACCAGGTGAGTCAAGTGGCGATTACTCATGCTATACAAGCAGAAAGTGAGAGAAGCCTGAGGACAGTGGTAGATAAGGCGGGAGGGAGAACGGCAGAGGCAATTAGAAAGCTGTCATTCAGGGATAATGTGAACTCATCTGGGGTTCTGAACAGGAACGTGGAATACAGTTGGCCCTCTGCATCCGCAGATTCAACCAACTGTGGATCAAAAATATTCATCAAAAAAACCTCAATAAACCAATACAATAAAAAATTTTTTTAAAACAAATAGAGTACAACAGCTAATTACATAGCATTTATACTGTATAAGGTATTTTAAGGAACCCAGAGATGATTTACAGTACACAGGATGAGGTGCATAGGTTATTGGCAAATGGTACATATACCATTTTTTATAAGGGACTTGATTTTAGCCTTTGCAGGGAGCTTTGGAAACAATGCCCCACAGATACTGAATGATAACAGTACTCTGTCTTAGGCACTTTAAAAAGGATCACTCTAACAGTTACGAATAAAACCAGCTTTTGAAAACCAAGAGCAGAAGTAAACTGTTGGTTTGAACTCTGTTATCTACAGAGATGTGATTGTAGAAGTAGGGTGGTAATAGCAGACATAGTAAAAAGTGACCTGCCTGGAAGTAGACCAACAGGACTTGCTGATGGAATAGATGAGACTAAAGATTCTCTGGAATATTTCAATCTGGGTATTTTGTGTGAATACCACAAAAAAGGACTGATGACTGTTTTCTCAGTTCTCTCAATGTACACAGCTGATACCATCCTAGATACACAGAAATGAAGTTAATTCATTATAGTCAGTGAATGCCTTAAGATATTATGGCCTCTCTCCCCAGATGGATGCTCTGAAATATGCATGAAAAGGAATACAAATTATTTATTGGCCAGGCACGGTAGCTCATGCCTGTAATCCCAGCACTTTGGGAGGCAGAGGCAGGTGGATCACAGGCCAGGAGATGGAGACCATCCTGGCCAACATGGTGAAACTCCATCTCTACTAAAAATACAAAAAAATTAGCTGGGCGTGGTGGCGCATGTCTGTAGTCCCAGCTACTCGGGAGGCTGAGGCAGGAGAATTGCTTGAACCCAGGAGGCAGATATTGCAGTGAGCCGAGATCGCACCACTGCACTACAGCCTGGGTGACAGTGTGAGACTCCGTCTCAAAAAAAAAAAATTATTTATTGGCACAAAGCAGGATGAACAGGTTAAGTGCAAAGCTTCTTTGAGCACTGTAATATTATTAGAGACTTGCCTTTTAGAAAACAAGTCCTCTGACACCTAAGATTTTAGATTTGTTGTTCAGTATATTTTGTAACAACACATAGTTTTGGTGGAGAAAAATTGAGCCAGCTACCCTAATTCTGGTTAATGTTAAGGGCTATGTCTCAGTTATCAGCATATATAATAAGAACTGTCTTTATTTCCATCTGATTCTCTCTGACAAGAGTTATCTGGCATGCCTCAGTATACAAGTCTCTCCTTTTGAGGTTGCACAATGACACAATATTTGGATACCAAGATCTAGTGCCAGGTAGATAATGTATGCTCTTGTTGACACAATGACCATAGAAGACCTGAACCTCAGGATTGGGAATGACTCCACAGATAACCAAGACTGGGTAGACTACTTCCCTGTAGTCTAGGGAATCTTAACTAAAGGCAAGTTAGTTTAACATAATGATGACACAACTTTCATATTCTTGGAGTAATCTCAAAATAACATTATTGGTTTATTGTTGTAATTCTAAGAAATACTCAAACCTAAACTGTTGTGTTTAGAAATTATACTTTAATATTGAGATGTATAACATTATATATTCAATTAATTATCTGGGTTACCCATTTTCTAGACATCATTTTTTTTTTTAAAGACAAGGTCTTGCTCTGTTGCCCAGACTGGACTGCAGTGGCATGATCACAGCTCATTGTGCAGTGTCAAACTCATGATTTCAAGCAATCCTTCTGCTTTAGCTTCTTGAGTAGCTGGGACTATAGGCACATGCCTCCATGCCTGGCTAAATTTTTAATTTTTTGTAGAGATGAGGTCTTGCTATGTTGCCCAGGTTGGTTTCAAGCTCCTGGCCTCAAGCAATCCGACTGCCTTGGCCTCTGAAAGTTCTGAGATTACAGGCGTGAGCCACTGCATCTGGCCTTTAGACATTTCTCTTTTTTTGAGACAAAGTCTCACTCTTTCACCCAGGCTGGAGTGTAGTGGTGTGATCTAGGCTCAATGCATCTTCCAGGTTCAAGTGATTCTCTCACCTCAGTCTCCTAAGCAGCTGAGACTAGAGGCATGGGCCCCACACCTGGCTGATTTTTTTGTATTTTTAGTAGAGACAGGGTTTCACCATGTTGGCCAGGCTGGTCTCGAACTCCTGGCCTCAAGTGATCCACCCACCTTGGCCTCCCAAAGTACTGGGATTATAGCGTGGACCACCATGCCCAACTAGAAATCTTAATGGAATAATTTATATGGAAAAATAGTTTTGTTTGAAAACTAGCTGTTGAAAAAGTCATAAGGTAGAGATGAAAGTTTAGTAATTTCTGCCTTCAAAATATTCTAGGTCAGGCATTCACTTTTTTTGCAGTTTACCTCAATGAAATTTGGAGGTTCAATTGTGTATCTGCTTGGAAATCTTAGCTGCTTTCTGAGAGGAGTATCAGGAGGAGCTCCTATAGCCCATATTTTTGTAACCCAATTCTTTAGTCACTATCTTTGCAATCTAAAAGTCTGGCATTTCGAGCATGAAAATTTCCTTTCATTCACATTATAGAATACTCTCTCAAAAGTTCTTAGTAATCTCTATCTGTCAGATAGGAGACAGCTCTAAAATCAAGTCAAGTCAATAGATGATAGGACAACTAGACTGGTGGGTCTCAAAGTGTAGTCCCTGGACCAGCATCAGCATCACTGGTATCTTGCTAGAAATGCACATTCACAGGTTCTACCCTAATCTTGCTGAATTAGAAATTCTAAGAATGGGGCTCAGCAATCTGTGTTTTAACAAAAAGTGACTTCAACAAAAAGTGATTATGATGTCTGCTAAAGCTTGAGTACCAATGATCTGTGCCCCTCTCCCAACAAATAAGTTTTATATTTGTCTCTGAAAGCAGTTAAGAAGCTCAAAACCAAGTTCTGCTTTTTATTACAATAGCCTAGCTCCAGTGGACTATTGGAGGGTATATCTAATTTATTCTTCTTCATTCCCCTGTTTAGGGCTTTTAATTTAGCCATTATTTAAAAATAAAAAAACATTCATAATAGAAAACTAGAAATGTATTTAAAAAAACAGATGTCACCCATAATCCCTGTTATAACATTTATAGAAGGAGAAAATTTTAAATGAGATACAGGAATAAAATCAGAAAAGACAAACCTATGGAAAATAGGCCCTTTGAAATGAGGATTTATTGTTATTTTTAAACTGGTTAGATGAATAATTAAGAGTCAGAGATGATCAGCTAATAGAATGTGACTGAGGACTGTCTTCTCAGGCAAATAGCTACAGGAAATGTAAGTGGGTACACTCCCAATGAGAGTAATCTGGCAATATCAACCAGATTACAGGTGCGTATATCCTCTACCCAGCAATCCAGCTTTTGGAAATCCATGCCACAGATTTGCCTGAACATGTATGAAATCCGTTATTCAGGTTATTCATTCACTGTTCAAGGTTATTCACTACAATGCAGCATTGTTTTAGTAGCAAAAGACTAAAAACAACCCAAATGCCCATTGATAAGGACTTGTATAAAAAACTACATACATATAAAATGCAGCTGTTAAAAAATGAGAAATAGTTCTATGACATATTGTTGAATTGAAAAAAGGAAAAAATATCTCAGTTGACTATAAGAAACCTCTTACTATAATTAACTTTTAAAAAGAAAATAAATCTTTACTATTTGGTCCTTCACAGAAAACATTTGTAGACTCCTGGTCCAAATAATGGCATATTTTTCTTCTTCTTCTTTTTTTTAAAACAGGATCTTGATGTGTTGCCCAGGCTGGACTAGAGCTCACTGCAGAGTTTGAGCTTACTACAGCCTCAAAATCCTGGACTCAAGTGATCTTCCCACCTCCCAAGTCGCTAGGGGACTACAAGCACACACCATCATGGCTGGCTTTTTTTTTTTTTTTTAGTTTTTGTCAAGATGGGGGTCTCACTATGTCACTGAGACTGGTCTCAAACTCCTGGCCTCAAGTGATCCTCCCACTTTGGCCTCTCCAAGCATTAGGAATATAGGCATGAGCCACTTCATCCAGCCAAAGGGCATCTTTTATATGGTCTTGGTGAAGTAACAGAAGTACAAATAGTTACCTTATAAGTACAGATAGTTAATTTCCTCTTCCTAGTTTCAGTATTTCTCTGTAGTAATGTGTTACACATCTGGAAGACCTGCTGCATGACAGCATCTTGTCTCAGGTCATCACGGCCCTACAGAATAATTAAGCATGAATTAACAAGTACAGTTCATTTTATTATAAAAGCACAGAGTCATCCGAGAATAACAAAGGGTACTCAGAAACCAATCTGAGCATCTGTGTACCTTTTTTATTGAGACAGAGTTATGCTCTTTTTGCCCAGGCTGGAGTGCAATGGCACAATCTCGGCTCACCGCAACTTCTGCCTACTGGGTTCAAGCGACTGTCCTGCCTCAGCCTCCCAAGTAGCTGGGATTACAGGCACCCACCACCACACCTGGCTAATTTTGTATTTTTAATACAGACGGGGTTTCCCCATGTTGGTCAGGTTGGTCTCCAACTCCCGACCTAAGGTGATCCACCCGCCTCAGCCTCCCAAAGTGCTGGTAATACAGGAGTGAGTCACTGTGCCTGGCCCTGTGCACCTCTTAACAGTCTCTCAAATAATTAAGGACCTATTCACATTCTTTCATTTAGAATAAGCCACAACACTGAGTAGTCACACTGATTTAGAAAAAGAAGTTTCCCCTCGCTACTTTTGTAGCTATATTAACTGGAACTCCCCCACAGGAAGGCATACTGCAAACAACTTGAGTAAAGTAGCACTGTGTCTCACCACTCCCCAGTAGGATTCAGAGTTCATGAGGAAATGGTAAGGGAAGAATGCTCTCCCTTTCTGGTATATTAAACAGCACTTGGCACAGTACCAGACCCAGTATACTGATGCAAAGGACTAAACTTGTACTATACAAAGAAATTCGAGACACCAAAGTATTTTTTCACAAAAAGCAAGCTCACTGTTAACCTTATCATGTCTGTACATGTTAATGGTATTCTTTTACTTGAATCAACCATACAATAATGATGGTCTTTCAGAGACACACCAAAAAAATGAAGAAAAACTTTCTGGTTCTAGAAAATAATGCATTTCTAGTCTACAAATTCTCCTCATTCATAATTATTCAAAATAAAGACAAAAGCCCAAATAAAGCAGGAAGAAAATATCAACTAAAATTTTTCCTCAATAAAACTCTAAGGGCTAAGCCAGAGAAGGGATGGCTCACCTTAACAAGCTGTCTCCTTTCCTTGCCATCAGAACCTACACAGTCTATTATTTTTGGTAAATTTACACCTCCTGCTAAGCGAAATTGTGCTCTAAATGACTGTACAGTCACCAGATTTCCATATTCTCCTGTGGGGTCCACCTAATAAAAGTATAAACACGATAATAGGTCAGATGCACTATTTGCACTCAAAGAAAAATAAATTATAAATGGCAATTTTAATATTAAACAGAGGAACAAATGACAATGTGATGTTGGTTAAGAACTGGAACTATAACTTTACTATTAAATGAAAGATTCACTAATATAGTAAAGTCATCTGAGAAATAACTCCCCACGAAAACATAATAAATTTTGGAAAACAGTAGAAGGAGTTTTCTGGATTTTAACTGCTAAATCTGGCATTTTCAGGAAATATTCAGCTAAGTAACTTAGCTGATATAGCTAGAAAAATAGTCAATCCACATGGTACAGCTACCTTTCAAATCAAGTTACTAGATACTAAGCAATAAACTGCAAAATGAAAAGAAAAACAATGTATTTAAGATTATCATTTTCCAAACTATAACCCTTATTATTACATATATCCCTGCCCACATGAAATTACTTCCATTATTTCTTGCATAGAACAGAGCTAAGTATATCATGCATATAAAGTCAACTTAATATTATAGTAATACTGATACATGACAGCCAATAATACGTTTTACTGCACATAGAATTTTTAAAAGCAATATATAACAATTGGGAACTTCCTTGCCAAGTCAAAAATTAATCTTGGCATAAGCACATGGAAACTGTCCTTCTGTCCGATGAAGGTAACAGTCTATAGACCTTCATAAGAAAGATGTGAGGCGCAGAACTGAAGGCAATGGAAAAGAAAGCAGGAGATGATTTTGAGTATTTCAGGGCTTGGGCAAAGAAAATCTAATACTGAGAAACTATAGGTTGAAACACGTGAAATTTGCCAATATTTAACCAATTTTGACCTACATAAAAATACTATTTCAAATGGTTTAATCTAATTTAAGAAATTAGTTTTAAAGAAATCATGAGTTAATTGTAAATTACCTTAATTTCCATAGTAGGGACAATAACATCTTCTAAATTCTTAAGTTTAGTAATTGGCTGGTCTGCTGGAATGTTTATGCCTTCTGTATTTAAAAATGAAGAGATTTTAGTGACAAACTGAGGAACAGCATTGAAGGTCAAGCAGAAATAGTCAGCAGATGCTACTGGCCCCAACTTGTTGCTAATCTGTGGTTCAGGCTCTGACTGAGAAATGAAGACTGGGCTTTGGCCACTGTGTAGCTCAGGGTCAAATCTCAACAGTGGTTAATGTAGCTTCAAGTAAATTTGCAGGTTACCTGACAGGGGTAATTAGACCAGATTCCACCTGAGGAACCAGACTAAGCATCTTAAAATAATTGCATGATAGTTTATATAGTACATAGATAACATATTCCTGTCACATTACTATTAAATGCAACTAAAAGACATGTCAATATTTTTTGTTTGCTTAGAGAAATAATATGTGAAGTTTCATTCTTGTTTTAAAGTAATAAGAATTTAAACATGAAGATATAATTCTGAATAGAAAAAAATACAATTATTAAAGTATGGGGAGATATTTGGAAGCAAATGCATACTTAGAAACTAGTCACAAAACCAAAGATTCCAGCAGCTTATAATTATTTGTACGGACACAGCATGAATAATAATTAAATAATGGCGAAATGGTAATGCCTTTTCTTTTTTTTTTTTTTTTTTTTTTTTTTTGATACAGTTTTGCTCTGTTGCCATCACTAGGCTGGAGTGCAATGGCGCCATCTTGGCTCACTGCAACCTCCGCCTCCCTGGTTCAAGCAATTCTTCTGCCTCAGCCTCCCAAGTAGCTGGGACTACAGGCGCGTACCACCATGCCCAGCTAATTTTTGTATTTTTAGTAGAAATGGGGTTTCACTATGTTGACCAGGATGGTCTCGATCTCTTGACCTCCTGATCCACCCACCTTGGCCTCCCAAAGTGCTGGTATTACAGGCGTGAGCCACCGCGCCCAGCCAATGCCTTTTTATTTTTAAGTCCCAGGGCACAGTAACCACATCATTTACAAAAACTTTTGACACTAGAAATGCCTCTATGCAATTCTCTGTAACAAGTTTGTGCACCAGAAGATTATCAGAAGAAATTAAATAATTAATTTACTGTAGCCACCTATTATCAGTTCTACCAAGAGATAATAAGTGAAAAAGTAAGCAGGGAACACTGAAGCTATCAGAGAAAAATTAAGCTTTTGTATCACGTTTGTGATTTTAAGCAGATTTACTTATTAGGCTCTAAAATTAATATGCCTCTACAGAGAGTAACACAGCAAGAAAACAATGCTCTTTCTTTCAGACACATACTTCTCTGAGTCTTCCACTGAGTGGCATCTAAGTTTGCTAATCTAATATAAGCATCACAAAGTGCCTCAACACTTCTGATCATCTGAGGTCTCCTACTTCTGATAATATGTATTATTCTGTTTGCAGCCTCTGTTCGGTCCTATTAATAAAAAAAACAGTGAGAAAAACAAAGAGAAAAACAGAATTCATGCACAAATGTAGACAGTGGAATGATTATAATTCCTCAGATACAAACAAAACAGTCATGAATAAAATCCATCAAAGGTATAATACTCTCGTCAACTCTAGTGCCTTTCAAAAATCTATTGTTTTCTTTTGCCAACTGCTGCGAGGAAAAAAGTAAAATACTACTGGTGTTTCCTATGCTTTGACAGATATTCCAATTTTAATTAATTAACTAATTAATTAATTTGAGATGGAGTTTCCCTCTTGTTGCACAGGCTGGAGTGCAATGACGCGATCTTGGCTCACAGCAACCTCCGCCTCCCAAGTTCAAGCAATTCTCCTGCTTCAGCCTCCAGAGTAGCCTCAGCCACCACACCTGGCTAATTTTTATATTTTTAGTAGAGACGGGGTTTCACCAGGTTGGTTGGCTGGGCTGGTCTCGAACTCCTGACCTCAAGTGATCCACCTGCCTCAGCCTTCCAAATTGCTGGCATGACCCACTGTGCTCAGCCTTGAACCAATTTTAGATGGCATCATAATAACACAAGGTTTTAAAAAGAAATATTCTAGGAAAGACTGAATATTACACTTCTGAAAAGTACATATGTTTAATCCAAATACCTCATCAAGCTGAGAGCTTTGTTTAGGAGCATTTTTAGTTATTCTATTTCTTCTTGCTACCTCTGGTTTAGTCAGAAATTCATCCTTGTTTGCATTTGCTAAGGCCAGTATAATAAACAAAGTATGATGGGGGTGATCCATTGAAATTCTAGAGATTAGCTGTAAGAAAATTAAGAACTATTAGATTTGTGCAAATAAAAAACATACAATCCATATTTTCATTTTGCTTAATGTTAAAATGTGTATTACTATCTAGATACTGCAGTGGGTAGAGTGTATATGTCTGCATGTGTGAGAAAGAGGCAGAGGCCTATGAGCAATTAGAGCGAGAGATTGAGTAACTTATGTGATATGAGAAGAGATAAAATATAAAATTTTGTAATTTCCATTTCTTAGAGGGACTGGTATATATACTTTATATAATACATAGTAATATAGAAGAAAAATAATTATTGTGGTTTGATTTTCAGGTTTACTTACATTATTGAGGACTTCATGAAATCCTAGGCCTCCCATCATCTTGGTCCCCATTCTAGCAGCCAATTGGTACATAAGAGGCAAAAACTTATATGATGGAATCTTCATTCCATCTCTCTATCATTAAAAAAAACACAACGTTAAGAAACAAGGTGTTTCCAATAGTCTCACATCTAAGCAAATAAATTATTTTATGACAGTGCTACTCTATTAGGACAAGCAAGTGGTTAACAAAACTTCACTAACTATATTTTTTTCCTTCATTTCTTAGCCGATCTGAAGGTCTTTATAATGGGTACTCCAGATTAATGCACTGGTAAATCAAAATTTTTGGTCCTAAATTAAACTGGATTCAGAACTGGGATACTTGGTACTGCTTATATTCCAGAAAATCTAAGGAAGACAAGGCTGATCTGAGTGTGACTGTGATCTTGATTCCTGAGAAGTCAGTGTACAATAAAATGAAGTAATTGCTTTTCCCTATAAGCCAAAAGTAATATGTAGCATATACTACAGCAGAGATTGATTGTGTCTGTTATGAGTCTTATCATTCTTTTCCTGCAAGAGAAACATTTTATCTCTAACCTTCAAACTGACTAACAATGTATATCTTATCAACCTAAATTTAATATTAGATATCATCACTATAACGTTTTCAAATAAAAACTTATAAAATACTGCTTTGTTGAATTTTTTTTTTTTTTTTTTTGAGGTGGAGTTTCGCTCTGGTTACCCAGGCTGGAGTGCAATGGCACGATCTCAGCTCACCGCAACCTCCGCCTCCTGGGTTCAGGCAATTCTCCTGCCTCAGCCTCCTGAGTAGCTGGGATTACAGGCACGTGCCACCATGCCCAGCTAATTTTCTGTATTTTTAGTAGAGACGGGGTTTCACCATGTTGACCAGGATGATCTCGATCTCTTGACCTCGTGATCCACCTGCCTCAGACTCCCAAAGTGCTGGGATTACAGGCGTGAGCCACCGCGCCCGGCTGAATATTTTCTTAAAAGTGTATTTTCTCCACTTACAAAATTCGTTGTAAAAATCCCAGATTTTTGCAGCAGGGGGAAAAACCCACCTGTGATCATATCATCTTTAATTGCTTTCTAAATCCTCTAATCTAATGCCTCATTCTAGACACTCTCCTACGGTAACTGCAAAGACATAGGACCAAGCTAATTTCTCTCACCTCCATACAAACTTGCATCATTTAGAGTTTATCAGCTTAAATAATCTAATAATAATATAAAGGAACTTTTGTAGAAATAAGAACTTGCAAATAATCCTAAATATGTATGAAAGTTTAGAAAACTACAAAATGCTACTCACATGTAGAGCACTGGATCAAGTGCAGGAATACAAAGAGGTATACAAAATCTCTGACATCAAGGGGCTATGTCTAAGTTTTTCAAGCATAGGGTAGAATATTGGGCTGAATAACACTTGCCTTCATCATGCCATTGACTTCAGAAACTCCAGAATTTTCAAGCCAGAGGGAACAAAGTCGGAATACCCACGTATCATGTTCTTCTCCACTTAATAAGCAGTTGATGTAGTTTTCAACTGCTTTACATAAGAAGCGTTTACGATCCTCTTTCAGTGCACGCAGAGCACATTCATCCAGCTCCAGCTCCCGCTGAACCTTTACTGTGTATCTTGTATAGAATAATTAAGGTAAAACACAAAAGCCATAAGCTTTAACAGAACTACAAAATCACACACAATATACAATATAAATGAAAAAAATTCGATTTTCATCCCAGGAAAAAAATCGAACGTCTAAGAATTATAAAGGGAATAAACTTTTGTCTTTTGTCTTAATTGTGTAATTCACACACCTTCCTAAGCATCCAAGGACGAGAGAGACTCTCCCCAAGCTATTTAGCTAACTTAAACCACTACTTACACTAAAATAAACAGATTCACGGCAGGCTTAAATAGAGGGATTTAATTACATAAAAAAAAAAAAAATAGGTAACTTGTAATTAATTTCAGTATCTATCTCCTTTTCCCATGATACCAATAAACCAAAAAAGCAAACCAAAACAAAAAGCTAGTATCTGTATTCTCCACAATGAACTTAGAAGCAGAGCATGAATTATTCATAAAAGAACATACGTCAATGTCTTACATACCAATTTGTGATTAACCACATTAGGACCAAAACAAACAGGGCACAGTGGTTCACACCTGTAATCCCAGCACTTTGAGAGGCCAAGGTGGGTAGATCGCTTGAGCCCAGGAGTTTGAGATCAGACTGGGCAACATGGCAAAAACTCTATCTCTACATGGCAAAACTCTACCTCTACAAAAATACAAAAATTAACCAGGCATGGTGACACACACCAGTAGCCCAAGCTACTTGGGGGGCTGAGAGGGAGAATCATTTGAGCCCAGGAGGTCGAGGCTGCAGTGAGCCATGATCACACCACTGTACTTCAGCCTGGGTGACAGAGGGAGACCTTGTCTCAAAAAAACTAACAACAACAACAACAAAAAAACAACGGCAAAGAACCCAAAAGATCAAGATAATCTATATGTAGCTAAGCTGACCTTTAGTGCTCAAAACTGTATCAGATAAAAAGACAAGTCACTCTTTCTATGCAAACACATTCACTCAGTTAACAAAATTGTCACTTATAGAAACCTACTTACCTGTTTGTCTGAATTTTATGTTCTCTAAGGAGACCTACTTCCTCTTTGGCTCTTTTCAGGAGAGCTTGTTTGTTTTCAAATTCTGATGATTTCATGTAGTTTTCAATTCTTTGGTATTGAGTATCTGAAAACCGGGCTAATGAGAGAAATGCCTTCATTTTTCCATTTCTTAGCTCATCATTACTTTCTCCATCATAATTTCCAGCAACTTCTACTGCCTTTAAGAAAACAACCAATTTGATTATATTTACAAATACTAAATACATCTAAAGAATCACTCAAACTACGGTAATACACTAAAGTTGAACTTATATACACGTAAAAGCTAAATTATATGAAATACTGCAAGCTTGTCCAACCTGTGGCCCATGGGCTGCATGTGGACCAGAATGGCTTTGAATACGGCCCAACACAAATCTGTAAATTTTCTTAAAACATTATGAGATTTCTTTTGTGATTTTTTTTTTAAAGCTCGTTAGCTATCATTAATATTAGTGTATTTTATGTGTGGCCCACAGTAATTCCTCTGCAGTGTGGCCCAGGGGAAGCTAAAAGATTGGACACCCCTAAACTATAGTATTTTCCTGACTTTTCAAATCAACTTTGAGAGTATAGAAATAACCCACACATCTAATACTTGTAAAGAACTTTGCAAAGACAAAGAGCTTTATAAAATTTAAAGACAATCAGGTTGGGTGTGGTGGCTCACACCTGTAATCCCAGCACTTTGGGAGGCCGAGGTAGACAGATCACATGAGGTCAGGAGTTTGAGACCAGCCTGGCCAACATGGTGAAACCCCGTCTCTACTAAAAATACAAAAAATTAACCGGGCATGGTGGCATGCTCCTGTAGTCCCAGCTACTTGGGAAGGTGGGGCAGGAGAACTGCTCGAACCTGGGAGGTGGAGGGTGCAATGAGTAAAGATAGTGCCATTGTACTCCAGCCTGGGCAGCACAGTGAGACTTTGTCTCCAAAAAAAAAAAAAAAAAAAAATAAAAAAAAAAAAAAAAAAAAAAAAAAAAAAAAAAAAAAAAAAAAAAAAAAAAAAAAATTAAAAAAAATAATAATAAAGGATATAATGTGTTTTGTGTTACGCTTATTTAGCGAGGTAACTTATTTCCAAAATTAGTTAATCAAAGGGATAAGAGGGAGAAACAGGAAAGTCAAAGGGGTCTGGTATACTGAAGCCTTTACTTGTGGGTGGCTGATGAAGAGCAAGGGCTGTCTTGCTTATTCCTTAATCAGTTACGTTTGTAGATGAATACATGAAGAAATTATCAGAAACAACCTGCTGAAAGGGTAGCTGGTAGTGGAGGTAGGAAGGAGGAAGAAGACATGCTATGTATACTTGGGCTTACTTTCAAAATCCACTGCTTCGTATGTAACTTTGTTTCATTCTACCCTAGAAACTATACAGAGCCACAGCAGTAATAATATATAGAAAAATAAAACCATAATTTTACTTGCTTTTGAAATATATTTGATCTTGATGTAAAGATGAAGCATATTCATGCTAAGTAACTATCTTAAGGGTTGCCCCCAAAATCTTACCTTTTCTAGATAGGTCTGCATGATGACCGCAGGATTTTCTAAGCAAGTTTCTGCTAACCAGTTGCCACAAACCCTCAGACATTCTGTGTATATAAGTTTTAGGCTGGGATTGTTCTGTAAAAGGAAGGCAAAATCTTAAAATATAACACATTACCATGACTATACTCAGCTGTCCTTCATGTAGGGGGAAAAAGCAGGTTAAAAATGTTTTTCCTCAGTGGGTAGAAAAAAAAAGTGTTTCCTCTGCTTTTGACATACAACGATTGTAATAATCCCATGTAGGAAATGATCATCCTCTGTTTATTATTATTACTGCCATTGTTGGAGCAAGTCACATTTATTGAGTACTTATACATGTCAGACACTTTGTAAAGGCTTTATATATATTAACTCATTTAATTCTCATAAGAATCCTATTAAATAAGTACTATTACCCCCAAAGCACAGATTAGAGAACTGAGGTACAAGGAAGTTGGGTAACTCCGGACAGCAAATACTTCAGGGCTGATACTATTAAGCAATATTTATACATATCATATTGGCATTCAGTGCTTTGGTATAATGATGATTCCTCTAATAACCGAAGATGCTATACAAAGAGTGCCCAACATCAAAAAGGCTGGTTGTGGTGGCTCACGCCTGTAATCACAGCACTTTGGGAGGCCGAGGTGGGTGGACTGCCTGAGCTCAGGTGTTCGAGACCACTCTAGCCAATATGGTGAAACCCTATCTCTACTAAAAATACAAAAAAATTAGCTGGCCTGGTGGTGTGTACCTGTAATCCCAGCTACTTGGGAGGCTGAGGCAGGAGAACTGCTTGAACCAGGGAGGTGGAGGCTGCAGTGAGCGGAGATCACACCACTACACTCCAGCCTGGTCGACAGAGTGAGACCCCGTCTCAAAAAAAAAGTACGGTCAGCTAATACACACTAAGCAGGTATATGTCTATGGGACACCACTGTAGACAAACCTTGGGAAACAAATGCCTCTACTTTATCCAGTGTGTTTGCTGGGTTTATAGCTGAAGTAGCAACACAACTTACTTTTATTTTCTAATTTAGTTCTCTCATGTATTTCCTCCTCCCCCTTTTTGCTTGCCATTTCAAATTTAGAGTAGCTATTTCATTCATGTCCCACATACCTTTCTTGAATTCTATAGCAAGTTAAAGGCTTAATACTGGGATATATTAAATGAATCTACCACATAACGGACTGATTCAATTGTTATATATAGGAAAAAGTTTCTAAACTTCTTTTACAAATTAATTTTCAAGACTCATTTTACAGTATCTTGTTCATAAATTAGTAATTTCAAGGCTCTAATAAAATCGTTATTAAAAATATTTTATAGCACATTTGTGTTTTTAAATAACAGTAAAACACTAATTCA